TATATCAGTGTATATGGTCTTACCACTACTCCACAAGGTTTGGGAGGAGGGAAGGGAAGAGGAAAGGAAAGGTATCTGACTATTGATTGGAAGAAGCGCTACCTTGTCAAACACCCAAACAAGGGAGATCATAGACTTTGCAATAACTGGTGCGGAGTCATGCTCCGGTCCATCCCAAGCGAAACATTCAGCCGCATCACCCTTGAGAGACTAAACAATGCTCTCGATTCAAAATTACCACCTGAATAGGCTGGCTAGCCGGTTACAAGAAAAACAAATGATGTGCGGATCAAATAGCCACGCTACGCTACTCATCACCACAGAACAGAAAATAGAATAGCAATCAAGTCTCTACCTCAACTTCATCGACTTTGAGAAGGCCTTCGACAGCGTCAATCAACAAGTAATTTGGCAGTTGATTCAACACTATGGAGTGCCACAAATCTTTATCAGCCTTATTCAACAATTATATGACGATGCCACATGTCAAGTGATTCACAATGTGATGCCGAGTGATGCGTTTGAAGTGAGGACATGGGATAGGGGTAATCCAAGGCTGCCTACTATCACCAATTATCTTCCTGATTGTGGTCGACTAGACTGGATCATGCAGCAAACCGTGAAGAGGTGAGGAGAGATGGTTATACGCTGTTTGACAAATGAAAAGACCTTACACGATTTGGATTTCGCTGTCCTGCAGCACAAACTCGAAGAAGTACAGGCTAAAACTAACAAGGCAAAGCATTGGAGAAGAGACCTCCTTCAGGTGATAAAGATACCCAGCCAACAACAGCATCAGCAACAAGCACCAATCATCATCAGTGAGAGAAATCTAAACGAAATTCTCTCTTTCACCTTCCTACCTACCTACCTACACACCTACACACTCACACACCTACCTAGACAGCATCGTTTCATCTACAGGCGACACAGACGCAGATGCGGATGTCAAAATCAGGATGGGAAAGATAGCAAGACAAACCTTCCTTAATTAACCTGAAATCAGTGTGGAGATCTATTGCACTACACTACACTGCACCAGACTACACTACACTCAGCATACAACGTGAACAATATTCTGATTTTCAAGACTAATATCAGTCAGGGAAGTCAGTACTTCTATGTGATGGTTGAGAGACTTGACGCGTTATGGAGAGCATTTCCAACAAACTACCGACATTCATCAACAGCTGATACCTGCGCTCACACGATAGTGAATATCACATCGGATGACCAGGAATAATAAGCATCAAGGAACTCTGGCTGAAAACGAAGCAACAAAGAACCTTTCACCCAATAAATATGCAGAAGTAAGTGGAGATTGATCGGGCATACACTGAGAAGGCTGATTGTGGACATCACGCACTAGGCCAGTTCGTCGAGTGGAATTCAACTGGGCGACGACGATTTGGGTGTCTCACCCAGGTGAGGGTGTCATGTATGAGATGGTGTGAAGAAGGAATGAAAGCATGTGAGGTTCAAAAGACTCGAGAGAAGAGAGTGGAATGGCAACGTGATACTGAAGCCCTATGTTCCACTTGGAACCTAACAGAACATATAGTAAATAATCATATTGAAATTTTTTGCACAATATCCACCAGGATTTTTTTTTCTGGATTTCCATGACTTTACTTATTTCCTCCAATCCGAATTCTGTGAAAATCAGCTTATTCATAATTTGATTTTTATTTACATATCACAAATCTAACTTTGTTCTAATAAATTTTTACGTATTCCTGTGTGTTAGATTTATGGCATTTTACTAGAATAGTAATCTTTGATAGTAAACATGATGAGATATAATCCAGTCAGGAAGCTCATTGGCTACATAAAAACGATGTTTTTATAAATTTTAACAATGCACAAAAATACACAGATTATGGCCTACTATAGTTGTGTAAAACCCTACTCATTTTTTTGTAAATAATATTTATTTCTTCGGATATGTAAGCGTCAGTTATAACTTATCGAAAACCTTTTTTAGATTTTAATTAGGAAATGAAAAGACGCATAGTTTTGAACATAGCTGATTTTCTACTTTCTTGTATGGTGTAAGTCGTTTCTTTTGTGTTAACGTGAGCCTTTTGGCAAGGTACTATATATATATCGGCTACCAATAAAGTTTGAGCAAAATAAGCCTAAACCTATTCAATTAGAGCTATTACCCAGTGTATCATAAACATCAGTTAAAGAAAATCCAGATATAAAGTATAATGTAGGCACAACAATTTAATCATTTAAGAACTACTTGATACCTGATACACTATTTCAATTTATTTCTCTAAAAGCATAGCGAAACACGAATCAAGTTCAACTAAACTTCACTGTAAATCTAAATAACTAACCTGCAGTTTATCTTGAAGTGATATTCAAAACCATAAAACTCGAATCGATAGATTAGCTGTCTGCATTCTAGGATACATTAACAGCTATTAACTGTGTAAGAGTCTTCATCCAAAGTTCTCGTTCCTCAATGACTTGGTTGATAACGACTTGGTGTTTGAAGAGATACCTACTGGGTTCAAGTCACATACTTAAATGCAGGTAGATCCAACCGATGAGTGCAAGATAGGACGAAACGTGTGTCCTTGATCTCACTGCTAGTCACCAAGCAAACCACTAAGTAATTATTACTCAGACAGTGGAGTCTATGACGCGCGTGTTGTCCAATTTAGGACTCATCACCTGGATGTATATACACCTAAGTGAGTGGTGTTTCTCCCGCTGAAACTCGAACTCAATGCTCGTCACTTCAAATGCCACAGGGTTATTCACTAGGCCACTGGGGTGTGATAGTCATCACTTATACAGCGGGAATCACTTGTTGTTTATCGGTACTTTTAATTTTCCGTTGTGTTGCAGGGTCGCATTGCTTGATCTGTATTGAAAGATGGGAGCACTGAGACTGGGTTTTAGTCTCACTGTGAACAATATCTTCCACTGGGATACAGGTACATCCAGCTGATGAGTCTCAAATAGGATGAAACACGAGTACTCAGTTTTTCTGTTAGTTACTAACATCATTACAACTTAATGAATATCTAGCAGTGTCTAGACATCTGCATATGAGCTTATTTGCCAACAGAGATCGAGCGATTCGATCAAGTATTGGGATGGGAAATTACAAATATCAATAAACAAAATTCACTCTGTTTATAATCCTCAGTCATGATTATTTTATACACTAAACAATGATTTGTTTATTGAACCTTTGAATCTTATCATTTGTTTTGGGTTAAGTAATGTAATCAATTCCACTTTTTTATTTAAAGTTCATTTTGTGGCAAAAATATTGACAAGAATAACTTACTTTAGGTTTGACAGTTAATTGCCCTTATCATATTCTTTAGTAGAAGAAGAAAGATGAAAATGTTCAAAAATGAACGAACTGTCACAATTATTATGAAGTAAAATTATAACATTCTTCATAAATCAAGTTTTTTTGTGTAGGTTGCATTCTTCTCCCGTTGTTGATTTAAAGAGCTGAGGAAGTCACAAATGCTAATAACAAATTTCTAATCATTACGTTTTTGAAAAACGTGGTGTTAATTTACTTGTTAACCATGTGAACAATTAGATACTAGATTATAAATTCGATTCATTAACTATACAGTTTGTAATAATCTTCCACTTTAAATTTCATCAGCAAACGAGTTATGGTTCATTAGTTAAGAGAGATGATTTTCACACAGTAACTCATAGGTTCGAGCATTGCTTTACTTCCGAGATTTCAGTAGTCAGGTACTATCATCAGTTGTCACACATTAGGTATGGCCCATTGCCTATTGAACGAATGTGCACAAGATTGCTGAGTGGACTTGGACTTGATTTTTACCAAGAATGACAAGAATAACAATACTGAATGATTGTTTCTTTCAGTACACTGAAATAATGTTTTTATTCTCCTATTGAAAGCTAATTTGTGATAGCTTTACTTCAATACTTTTCCCTAATATTGTCTTCTAATCATTTATCCAGAGAAGGATTGTGGTTATTGTTTCATTAGAAGGCTTTGAAAGCGATTTTTCCAGAAATCAAGTTATTTATTTTCATTAGACATCTAGCAGACTGTGGGGTATTAAGTTGTTCGTAGATTCAATGAGTTGTTTTTTCAATAGAAGGTAGGATTAAAACTTGTGAACACATTTCTTCCTTTACGTGATTTTCAGGCATTACAAAAGAAGAAAACTTCTAATCATTTCTTATCATTCAAGACACTAAGTCTACAAAGTACACCCCTCCAGCCTAGCTGTTCTGCAATAAAGATCAGAGCTTAGATCTTCATGATGGTGATACGGGTACATTAACCTTCTTTGTTTACAAAATTTGATCTACACTGAAAATAACAGCAGTATATTACTATTCATCTTTATGCTGAATTTTATTTATTATCTATTATGACAGAGAATCATTCAAGGTTTTTGAAACCAAAGGGTGACTTAATTTATAGTACTACTAAGTAAAACAAACTGGTAACGTGCTCGCCATGAAACCTGCAGGTCATGGATTTGATCACCGGTGGCGTCACTACTGAAGAGTCACTTAACTAGGACAAAGTAGCTGTCCAGTGCTTCTAGCTTTACAGTGGTTCTCCAACTGATGTCATTCCGTGAAAAATACAATCTTGAAGTCAACACACTCCCCATAAACTTCCAAAATGAATTAAGATGTTCTTATAGACGAGCCTTATCTATGTACTGAAAGCAATGACATTGATCCTTTTGCCAATATCTCTTATGCATCGAAAAATAGTGAAAATTGAATTGCTATGTTTAGTCTAACATTTTTTCAAATATTCCACATAATCACTTATGGTTTTTCGCTTCATTTTGATGAATATAACTCAAATTAAACTTTTTTTTGCGTTTCCATTTAAAAATCACCAGACTGTACGTAGGAAGTTATAACCTACAGAATCCCTTTACATATTGCTACTTGTATTCAATTTGTTAATTAAGCCATAAACAAGTTGATATAGGCAAGTTCTACAACCTATAGCCACAGTTCCTGTCTAGTGCATAATACAATCAACTTTCCATATAGTTTAACACAGTTGTTTATACATATTTATGTATCGTTGTCATGGTTAATGTGATAAATGTCACATGCAGTCCTGTTGAATTCCACCTTATAAATTCAGACGAATAGATTCAATGTTATTATACGAATACGGATATTTTTTATTACTAAATATCCATGATAGAAGGTTGGTAAATTTTTGCACTGAGACAATGATAGTGTTTTAATACATCATTAACATTGATAAACAATTCAGCTGCATTTGCTAATTGTTTATGCAATATATATCACACTAAACTACTCTATAAATCAGCTAAAACTGAACATTATCATATACTAACAACTTGCCTAGAATTATGTGTGTATGAGATTATAAAAGGGATCTGGAAAATCAACACCTCTAAGTCTGAACTACATCAAATTGCTAGATAGGAACATAAAAGACGAGAAAATAATGTGTTCAAGGGTTTTATATGAAGTAACCTAAAATCTTAATACTAGAGGTACCATTTATTAGGAAATTCAAAACTGTGACCTCTTTCCTCTACATGAACTAGTGAACTTAATTAACATTAGGGTTACTTCTAACCCTATTACTTGGTTTGCTTTATGTTCAGGTCATTAGATCTAAGTGATTGTTTGTCTGTGGCACTCAAACGTTAATCCTGATCCTCAAGAGCTGACTGTTGGTTAAACACTGTTACTAAATGCTTATCCAGAAAAAAAATTTTTCTCTCAATATATGGCAGTGGTAGTCAGTGACTGAGCTGGGATTCCGCACACGTTTTAATAACTTCAATTTGGTTTTACACAATTATTGCTACCATATTTTAATTGCATTCACCTCGCTCCCTGTCAACACTTTTTGCGTTGTATCCATTTGTTTTTATTGTTTATTGGATCTTTTTCATTACGATCTAATCGGTCAAAGATAGAGAAACAGTATTACAGTGTTATAACGGTAGTCCTAACCTAATTACATCAATCATGCTTATCATATGTTCATTAATTCAGGTTTCTGGACAATTAATTTATGATCTACAGTTGTTTAAAGTTGAGGTATAATATAATACAATTGATCCAGTTAACCATCTTATTACGAATCGATGCAACTCTAAACACGGAATTCATATAATAATAAGTTTCTCTTTAAGAAAGTTTGTGAAACTACACTGGAATCTTTAACTCTAGCCGTAAGTGCAAAGATTTAACACTTCACAACTTTATATCAAGATATTTCATGCTTATGAATGAACTTCTAAAAGAGATAACCGTATATATATATATATATATATATATATATATATATATATATATATCTTGTATAATGCAATACAGGGTAAGGAATAGTGTCTAGTGCATTGTTAGTTGCAATAGCAACAGTGAGGATTTCAGTTGTCACAGTATCCAATAATTAATATATCTTGCTAATACTTTTGTTACTTTAGTCACTCGCCGTTCGTACCGTACGGTTCAGTTGCTAATGCGTGACTTGATTAGACACATATTGATGGAAATAAACATACTGATTAGAGGAATATTGGTCAATAAAAACACTATCTAAACATTCATGTAATATTCAAATATGACTCACTTGGTTTTCAAGTTGGTGTTGAGGATATCATAAAGCCTGGTAATGCAACACCCATAGGGAAATATTAAAGCTTAAAGAACGCCAAATCATCGGCATCCTCACAGTGATCGACAAATTTTCTGCAGAAATGAAGTCTCTTTAGTTGTTACTGTTGTTCAATATATCGGAGTATCATGGGACTCATTTAGAGATCGGTTAAATTCAGGAAGTCAAACTTCACACTAATTAATTTTTTGAAAGCCTTCTATTTATTCCAGTGTTGCCATATCAAACTCAAACAGTGAAAATATCCAATCAGGAATTACTTTATTTATCCTACTGAAAGTTAGTCTCTGTATTTGGTATCATTGTAACTCATAGGGGAATAAAGTTCTAAACAAACTGACATTTAGTTGCTGGAAAAAAATTCAGAAAGCAAAGTACGGAAAAATTAAATCAAGGTGATCAAAGTTACTTGATAAAAAACTCAAAACGAGGACGTTAACACTACTATGCTTACAGCAACAAGTTCCTAGGGAAATGCACCTATAGTTTCCAAAAGACGACAATGAACGTTAACCAAGATAGAAACTCTGCAACACGCTGGTAAGTGAAGGAGAACAGGCTGCTAATAGAAGAGACCTGACAACATTATATCAAATAACCAGCTTACTATCCAGAAACAGATAAAATCAGACAAAACCAATGAAAGACAGTGAACGAAAGCTAGTTACCAAAGAGGAGGAACAAAGGAAACGATGGGCTGACCACTTGAAAAAGCTCTTGAATCCATCACCAACATCACAACCACCTGCAACTCGTCCAGAAATAACACCAACAGTTACGAAACTACCAGTGAACACGGGTCACTGGACAAAAGCAGAAGTGAAGTTCTGAATGCCACAAACTGCTGAAATTCGGGAAGGCAGCAGGACTAGAAGGAATTCCATCAGAAGCACTGGATGCAGACGCAGAGACAAAAGTGGACATGCTCACATCACTACTGCAGATGGTTTGGAGGTGAGAAACGAAGAAAGAAAGAAATGAAAGGTGCCTGCCAATTGATTGGAAGGAGGGCTACCTTGGCCAACTCCCAAACAAGGATGACCTAAGTATTTACAAGAACTGACGCGGAATAATCCTCCTATCCACACCAAACAAAATATTATGCCACATCATCCTGGAGAGACCGAAACGTGCTCTCGATTCCAAACTACCACCTGAACAGGCTGGCTGGCCAGTTCGAAGAAAATTAAATGATGTGTGGATCAAATAACAACTCCATGCTACACATGATCATAGAACAGAATATAGAATGACAGTCAATCTCTACCTCAACTTCATCGACTTCGAGAAGGCCTTCGACAGCATCGATCAACAAGTAATTTGCCAGCTCCATAAATAATACGCCTTTAATGGCACAAACCCTTATCAACTTCATTCAGCAACTACATGGAAACGTCACATGTCAATTGATTCACAATGGATAGCTCAGTGATGCGTTTGAAGTGAAGACAGGGGAGAGGAGTAGGAGAAGGCTGCCTACTATCACCGATCATTTTCCTGATTGTGGTCGACTAGACTGGATCATGCAGCAAACATGAGGAGCTGTGAAAAGATGAGTATACGCCGTGTGACCAATGACATGACATTAGGAGATTTGGATTTCGCTTTCGATGATGATTTACGTCTAATGTCTTGTAGCACAAACTCGAAGATATACAGGCCGAAACTAACAAATTGGCAGAAGAGGCTGGACAGCGAAGATGAGACATCCTTCAGGTGAACGCAGAGAAGACATTGGTGATGGAGATACCCAGCCAATAACAAGCACCAATCATCATCAGTGAGAGGAATCTAAACGAAATTCTCTCTTTCACCTACCTACCTACCTACACACCTACCTACCTACCTACCTAAACACCTACCTACACACCTACCTACCTACACACCTACCTGCCTACCTACACTCCTAGACACTTACACACCTACCTACACACCTACACACCTACCTAGACAGCATCGTTTCAACTACAGGCGACACAGACGCAGATGAGGATGTCAAAATCAGAATGGGAAAGATAGCAAGACAGACCTCCCTAATTAACCTGAAATCAGTGTGGAGATGTACTGCACTACACTACACTACACTGCACCACACTACACTCAGCACACAACGTGAACAATATTCTGATTTTCAAGACTAATGTCAGTCAAGTCAGTGCTTCTGTGTGATGGTTGAGAGACTTGACGCGTTATGGAGAGCATTTCCAACAAACTACAGACATTATTCATCAACAGCTGATACCTACGCTCACGTGATAGTGAATATCACATCGGATGACCAGGAATAATAAGCATCAAGGAACTCTGGCTGAAAACGAAGCAACAAAGAACCTTTCACCCAATAAATATGCAGAAGTAAGTGGATATTGATCGGGCATACACTGAGAAGGCTGATTGTGGACATCACGCACTAGGCCAATTTGTCGAGTGGAATGGAAATGGGAGACGACGATTTGGGTGTCTCACCCAGGTGAGGGTGTCATGTAGGAGATGGTGTGAGGAAGTATTGAAAGCATGTGGTAGTCGTGGTGCCAGATTGAAAAGACTTGAGAGGAGAGAGTGAAATGGTTACGTGCTACTGGAGCTGTTTGTTCCTCTAGGAACCCGAAGGACAAATAATAAATAATAATAATATCCAGATAAGTAATAACGGTAAACGGACGCTACTTTATAGTACATCTTCAGAGTTTCATTTCAGTAGTAGTTGCAGATGACTTCGAAATTCTGTTTCTCGAATAGAAATGACAACAGCCGGAAAAGTATTTGACCGAATAAGCAGGGGTATGATGATTTCTTGATTGCGATAATGTAAATGATAAGTCTCAAGATATCAACAAGCCTATCTAGACATACGAATACGGAATTTGCTACCAAATACAAACATGACAGTGAGTGCAATTTATCAGACCACAAGAAGAGAACAAATTTTAACACGACTGAAAGCACCATTCACAGGTAAGAATCTTTAACACAAGTATTAGCCATGAGAAATGCTTAACATGTGCTTGTGAATTAGTTTATGCGTCTTATTCTCTTAATAAATTTGAACGAGCTAAAAAGGACTGAGTTCGCATAATAAAATATTATCTCATTTCGCATATGTTCTTCAGCTCCAGATAGCCTTGAAATAAAACAGAAATCAAATCAGAAATTTATATGCTTAAATGCTTCAAATGTAGATTGGACGATGATACAATATTTACCATAAATTAGGCAATCCCAAGTAGTGAAAATGCATAAATCATAGGCATTCAGTCAAAATAGCTACTAAGTCATGTGTAGAAAAAGAATCTCTGAGAGTTATAATAATATGGGAAGTAATGTAAACAAGCCAACGTCTAATATCACCTGACAGATTACTTAAAATGCTAAAAAATTGAAATCCATGAGATTGAAATTGTTCGGATGAGTTGAAGTCAGTTGGCTAGCAATATAAACGACTATGCGACTAAAATGAAACGACATAAAAGTACAGTCACAACGGTAGAGACAGACTCATCATACTTACTTTCTGTTTTGCATTAGTCTGGTTGAAAACGCTTCGTGGA